TAGAATAGAATAGAATAGAATAGAATAGAATAGAATAGAATAGAATAGAATAGAATAGAATAGAATAGAATTAGAATAGAAATTAAAATGGAGCAGAGTGGAGTGGAATTAAAATGGAGCAGAGTGGAATGGAATGGGAAGGAGTGGAGTGGAATAAAAATGGAATGGAGTTTAATGGAATGGAATGGAATGGAATGGAGTGGAGTGGAGTGGAGTCGCGTGCACTGGAGTTGAACGGAGCTAGAAAGAAAAGAAAAGAAAAGAAAAGAAAAGAAAAGAAAAGAAAAGAAAAGAAAAGAAAAGAAAAGAAAAGAGAGAAAGAAAATAATACATACCAGCATGCAAAGAAACACTCAAAGGGCAGACTCAATGGACCCCTGGATCTTTTTCTGCTGTCAATTTTCTTTGTTTTCTACATGTTTTTCAACCTTGGGCAACTTGAAGAGATGTGGATTTCAACTCCCAGAATTCCCCAGCCAGCTTACCAGAACCTCAGGGTGCAATTCTGCCAGTCAAAAGGGAAGTAATTGACATTGATAGGGCAGGCAGTGCGGAAGATGGAAGGAGGTAGCCAATAGACCCCTCCGTCAGAATCCACCAGTACATTGGCACTGTACGCAATCTCAAAGTTTCCGTCATTGCTAAGAAAAGGAAAGAATGACACATAAGAGTGAGTGATGGTCCTTCCCAGCTGGATCTTGGCAGCTTCTTTGATTCTTTCGCATGCAGCTTTTTCAAACCAATCCTTTGTAGCATCTTGGGAATCGAGTCCTGTAATGTAATCCCAATCCCACATTCTGGTCCCATAAATAGCATTTGGCCCAGATAAAGGTTACAGAAACTAAAGTTTTCAGGATAGATAGAAATGGAGATAGATAGATAGATAGGTGATAGGTGATAGATAGAGATAGATAGATATAAATAAATGGATATAAATAGATGATGATTATAGATAGATGATAGCTAGATAGCTAGAGAGAGAGAGAATGATGACAGATCAGATAGATAGATAGATAGATAGATAGATAGATAGACAGACAGACAGACAGACAGACAGACAGATAGATATAGATGATATAAATAGAGATCGATAGATAGATGATAGATAGAGATAGACATGGATATAAATAGATGAAGATGATAGATTACTGTAGATAGATGGATAGATGATATAGATAGATATAAATAGATGATATAGAGATCAATACATAGATACATAGATAGAGAAGGTTATAAGATGATAGAGA